GTTAAATGTTTGCTATTTTCTGGTACTCAATTTTGTTACTTTGTGTAGAATATTTTGTCCATTTAAATTTTGGTTTAAATGTCTGGGCACAAGTGAATGACCGGAAGTTGAAAGTAAGGTTCGCCATATTGACAATAATTTGTTTTGACTTTTGTGAACTGGTAACCATTACACTTAATACTTTTTTGATTAATTTTTATATTCAGAATGAATTGCCAAACATAGTGGTATTGCCAAACATATGTAGTGAAACATGTGACTTATTAATATGCATCATTGTAGCGTCGAGGATATTGGTACTGGATATCAGGTACATGTACTGAGCTTAGGGGATCATCTGACCGTGGTGACACAGCGAAAGGTTCCAGGACTAAAGCCCGGAAGGAGGCTGTGTGTGTGATCAAGACTCGCTGATGGTGGATAGACACAGATAAGTCGAACCACGTAACGTTGTGATAGTTCGTTAGATGAACACTAGTGGCAAACCTGAGATGGTTTTATTTATACGTTGATGATGATGATGACGATGATGATCGATGGTACAGAGACGATTACTACATTTGGATATGTTTGGCAATAACTGGAACATTGATTGATTGATTCATGATTGATAACTGAGATATATACCCGGGGTTGATTGTTAATTGGTTACCAAGATAATTGGTTTTTTTTGTTAACTGTTTAATAGTGAGTAAAGGGTGTGGATCAGAGTGCGGTAGATGGTGTGAGGTTTTTGTTATTGTTATTATTTTTTTGTAAATAAATTTATTAAACTTATTGAACTTGTGTGATTCTTGGAGAAAGCCAGCTTGACCACGTGACAATCATGACAAGGAGCACACGAAGTTTGAGTGGTCAACAGGGGAGGTCATCTAATTCAGCCTCGGATGTTTTTTGGAAGTCATTGTTTATACTCTGCTCCCAATTACTATGGTTTCGATGGCTCGTTGATCCAGATTTATGTACAGTTTCGTTATCTCCATAACATAAAAAAGTGTTATTTGAACCAATGGATGTATTGTGAAAAGCTTGTGTATATTTTTCATGTTATAACACGACATTCTTTTATTATCTTAGGCAAAGTAATGATTGTGTACTAAAAAGACCAACGATTGGCATTAACTGTTATATAATGTTAAAGCTGACATGAATTCTTAAATACGCAACATTTTCATCTATGTACGACTTGTTTCATACCAACTATAGCTGTATTCCGCCATATTTCTTTCAGATACCTTGTCTCATTGTAACGATGTATACCCCAATGCGCTCGTTACACTTGAATGATTTTTTGGATTGGGTATTGACTTGTGCACATCTCCGATGGTAAAGCATATGAGAACACATGAGGTGATCAAGACATTTCAAAAACAAAATAAACAACATAATAATCATATTTTTGAATGAATATTGATTTGAATCAAAAGAAAAAAATGCAAGTTTGGAAGAGAAATTTAGATGCATGAGTACGTATTTTTACAGTGCGCCAATTTATGCAGAATAAACTTGAAATGAAAAGCAGTAAAATTTGAAAACACATTTTGAAATTTTATCATTTTGAATGGAACAAAACAACCAACGTCTGTGATTTGCAGGTCCTATGCAATTGACTGATTGATGATATGAGAAAACACCAAAACCTCTGTAAACGTACCCATACCTTGGTAATAAGGTTCTGCATCGGTTGAAGATGTCAGTTGCAATGCACCCTAATTCCATTTATTGAAATATGCATCACAAAAAATAAAACTCCATAAAACCTCAATAGTAAACACACTGCCTTTACTCCGTACACACTAGCACGACGATACACTTAGTCCGTGCTGATCAGATTCTGGTCGGGGAAAATATCAAAAGTGGAAAGAGAAGTTATTTGGTATTTGCGCGGCTGAAAGTGGGGGATATTATAACTGATGTTCATAAGCTATAATTGTGAATTGTTTATCTACATGTAGTTCTAATATACATTCTAGACAAAGTCATGTACATGTATATAGTCTGCAGTTGGTTTGCGTCGCAAAATTCATTTGTCAATTATAACTGATTATTTTAGTACTAATCTCAAATCTAAACAAAGTAATTTGATATACGGCTATAATTTACTTCAAATCTTAAAAGCAATTTACCAGAATACAAATTTTTATGTGTACATCTATACATTCTTTAACACATACACACACGGAGGATGGCCATCCCCTGTTCAGATTGACATTTAGGCATTTTATTTTTTGGCGGGGGGGGGGCATACAAAAATATTTGACATGACCGTTATTTAAATATTCATGGAAAACAGACATTTCTGCCGAATTCAGTTATGAGATTTTTTTAAAATGTGTCACTCCGACCACAAAGTATGTGCTTTTTGAGGAATGTAACTGTTTTATAATTATGTTGTCACAGGAAGTATTTCGAGATTTCAGTATCCCTGCCTGATAGTCTAGGTATTTTTTTATATATATAAATAATTTCTGTAGGTGAATTTGGGAGATAATTTTAAAAGCTAGGGTAGGGATACTTGACACTGGTTGAATACGGATAATTATTATTTATTCTTTTGTATATTGAACTCTCTCTCTCTCCCTCTCTCTCTGTTACCACCCGTTGGGGCAATGATAGGTATAAAATCCTACGCATTTTGTGCTGTACTATTTCAGGCGGGATGTCGAAACTTCATAAATTGAATAATAATTTTACTTTGGACAGGAAATTAACCCAAACGCCCATATTGAAAGAGAAACTAGACGTACATGGATTATGAGCAATGAACTCACTAAATGATACCCCCTGCCTCCCATATGGTTCTAATGACAAAGTCCATATTTCGCTAAACCCATACGTGTCAGATCAAAAAGTAAAATAGGAGGTGCATAATGGTAATCTGTAATAAACTTAAGATTCTTTGAAAGTTTCATTAAATTTCTCTAAGTGGTGTAAGAGGATTTGCGGATAAGAGATGGGTACCCCAAAGCGTAACAGACAGACGAACGGACATAACGATTACCTCCCACTTTTCAGGCGGGGGATATAATAAATGTGAAATATAAATCACAAGAATGGGAACATTGGGAACTTTCTCAATACCCTCTCAAACGTATGTGTCGAACTTGGACAACAGACAAGAGATTTTTTAAAAAGCTAGTTTTAGGTAGAATGTGGAATTCTCACGAGGAGTTTACTCTCTCTTCCTATATGCTTTTTCTAATAATCATTACTTATTTATGTCTAGAAATTTAATTCACATTTAATTCTATTTTCATTATCATTGTACCAAAGAATCAAACTCGTTTATTTTACCCCAGCGTGAGGTATAATGTTTTTGACCCGTCAGTCAGTCTTTTTTTTTTTTTTTTTTTGGTCAGCGCAACTTCTCATAAACCACTGTACAGAGTTTTGTCGAACTTTTCAGATATTTATAGGAGACAATGTGTGTGTAGATTTGCACATCACCAGGAAATTCCGAATTCTTTATTTTTCGGGAATTTCCGCACTTTTACATTTAGATTTTGGCCATATCTTGAATATAGAGGTGAGCAGTTTGTCAGCGCAACTCCTCATAAACCGCTGCACACAATTTCGTCAAACTTTGCAGATATTTAGGACACAATGTGTATAGATGTGCATATTACAAGGAAATTACGATTCCTTTATTTTTTTCTGGTAACTTCAGCACTACTTCGACTTTTGGCGTGGGGTATGTGAACGTGCTCACTTTTTTCTTCATAGTGCATAAAATTATAAATAACTTTAAATCAAATTATATTAGGTCTAATAAAGCCAATACACAATATTTATTTGATAATAATTGATCATAAAGAAATCCAATCTGTTTCAGACGTTTTTCTTACATTATTTTTATGAGAGTGTTATGCATGTTTTCTTACACCCACCCCCCCCCCCCCCGCCCTCATATCACGGGAAAATATCTTCAAAAGGTGAATGATTCGTAATAATGCCTGCTTTTTTTTAAATGAATTTGATGAAGTTAAACCATGTACTTAATCGTAAATTTTATTTACAACATGTACAGACAAGAGTAATGTTTATCTTTGAAAAAATTACTTGCATTTTTTTTCATTCAACCCCACTGAGCTTTCAACCTTTGATATTTTCCCTGACCAAATAAAATGATCGGCATGGGCCACGTGTGTCCAGGCATCTTTTACTGTTGAGTTAGCAATGGATTACATGACTTCTGAGATGCATTTTTCAATAAAAGTAAAATAGGATAATTCTTTCGACATGTGCACATCCCTGTAACGATAGCAGTAGTCAGGTAAATGTTTTTATCACTGCGTTTGACGCGTTTTCTCGGCCTGCATGGGTGTTTGATGTACATGTATGTATTCCGTGTTAGTTTATTTTCTATATTGCAGCAAATGCATTCAAAAATAATTTAATTCTCGGTATAGTTCTATTTTTTGTTGAATTTTTACTTTTCAAACATGTATTTGGTCAGTTTTTGGACTTCTAAAAACTTTGTTATCGGAGATGTGTACATGTCGACAGTCAGGCTAGAAAATCACTGAAGTGAAGCAATCGTACAAAGCTATATATAGCAGGTACAGGTGACTAAAAATTTTCAATTAAATATGGCGGAATCGAAGAAATATGGCGGACAAAGGCGTACAGGAATGTAGTAAGTCGTACAAAGATGAAAAATGATGGCTTTTTAAGAGTTCATGTCAGCTTTAATTTTGTTGTTTGCAATTTTACACCGGAAGTCTGTCATTTGTATCCATGCGAGGAGGTGAGTGGTCTTGTAGTGGGCCACTCATCCTATATATGCCGTGTACTTTACCTGCTTTGATGAAGAGACCGGAGACTGTCCATCAATAGACGCAAGATAAACTGACTCAGCTGATGTTCTCATCCATACGAGTACTTATACTCACCGCACCGGGAGATCGGCACATGAACTCCTTAATTTATTAAAAAAAATATGTGAAGTGTAATTTATCACCTTAAGTTTTATTTATGGGAAAGATATTGAATTATCTAGCATGGACGACATGGAGACTCTCGCAAGGGAAAAGAACGACGAGTATGCCTCTATAATATACCCCAACACAGTCATAAAAGGTGTGGGGATTGTTACGGGATTTTCAGGAAATATACTGGTGTTTTCACTCTACACTTTCTGGATTCAGAACAACGAAGATTCCCGTTACTTCATACCATTTCTAGCAATGGTGGATGCGCTTGGAAGCTTGACGCAAGGAACTTTTTATCTCTTAGCTGACGAGTATGCATTCATTTTTCCAAATGATATAGTATGCCGATCTCTGTATTTTGTATTCACAACTTTGTCTGGAATATCTGCCCATTGCCTTTTAGTAATAGCTTTGCAACGTTATTTTTTGATATGTGAACCATTTGGTTGGCAATTCTCACTCACTACCAAGCGCTTAACTATAGTGTTAATTACACTAGTGTCCTGTGTTTGTGCTTTTCCATTGATCTTCTACAGTGGAGTGAAAGAAGAAGAATTGTCTTTTAGAGGACAGAACTTTACAGGTTTCGTATGTAGAATGGTCATGGAAATTTCATCTTCTACAACCATATACGTCGGTTTTCTATTTCTTCTAACTCTAGGCAACGTCATTGCTACAGCAATTCTTTATGTTCCAGTTTGCAAGACCGTGTATCGGGCGATTAAGTCAATGAAAAAAAGAAAAAAGACACAAAACGGTTCCATTAACATGAGGCAGCAGTCTGAGTCCATTCAGGAAACAATGCTTCACAATGACGATCGCCTTTCTAAAGCCAATGGTCTGAGCAAAAACAAAACGCCTACGAGCACCAATGGCAATAGCGCCTCGACCCGAATCAGCCTTATGTTCCTCACTGTGATAGCAGTGTATATTATTTCTTATATACCAGGTTTTATAGTAGTTATTATTAATCACACCCATAAAAACTTTGATCCACTACAACTTTCAGATGCTGGACTGAATACTTGGAGATTCTTTAACACCATCTTCTTCTTTAATCATGTCTGTAACCCATTTATTTACTGGTACTATGACAAAAAAATCAGAAGGGCTTTGGCTAATCTTTGTGGCAAAAAGAACTAGAATATTAACTCGTTTAATAGACCCTCCGTTTTCCCTCATGTAGGGCAGCACCAGATCAGTTAAAAAAATTATACAGTTTTTAACTTAAATTGAGGGAGAGACCTGTTCTTGCAGATTTCCTATGCTACAGCACGAGCTTGCGAGTGCATTTGAACAGCCAACAAGTACCGGTATATTGTATAATATATTATTACTCATCAAATATTATAGTTTGAACAAAATGTCTATTGTAGTATTTGTATAATTTGCTTTAAAGTGCTAAAAATTGGCATTTTCCTATATAATCCTATAGTAAATGTACCTGTATTTTGAGACGGTCCCTCAAAAATACCTGGACGGTAGATTTCCCCCAAACTTTGCATGTACACTGAAGTTAATGTAAGTTATATATGTAATAAAAATGAGGAGTTTCGTTATTGTAGTTTTCACACAATAAAACTATAGTCGACCCCCTTAATAGGTCTACTACGTACTAAATTTTAATAAATAATTTCATTTTGTGTGAAAAATAAACACATCTTACCTAGATGCCACTTCATGTCGTTAATTTAGCTTTGAGAATTCAAACGACCAGACGACTTTTTTTAGACGGGGTCACGTGACCCCGTCTATTAGTTTACTGTCGGAGGCCTCAAAACGGAAGCCGTGGGGATAACACATGAATTAAATCTACGCTATATGAAAGAGTGCAGAAATTGTTTTGATCAAAATATAAACATTCTGTATCAAATTGAAGAAAGTGATAAGAAGTTTTTTTCTAACTCAAATTTATGAAGCATTTTTGAAAATTTAAAACGGAAAATCACACTAGTAAACAAAGTACATTCCTGCGTAGTATTACGACTGCGTACGCATCACCCATTGTTTACTTCCTGAAAAATATTAATTCGGACCCGGTGAAATTCGGACAGTTCAAAAAGGTTTCTAGGCTTAGCAATTATTGAAATTTCCACTTCAAATTAAATGAAAAACGTAAATTTATATTATTCACAGGTTTGTTTTTAGTATGTAAAAAAAAATTAAAGTGTTATCAATACTTATAAAACAATCGCATTTGTGAAATCCAGCATGAAGATTATTTTGACCCCGTCTTTCAGTACTGTCTCAGTACTTTGATTGTTTACAACGGGGCGTTCGATATTGAACGCTCGTATTCGGAATGTTTCGGACATACTCGTATACGTAATACAAAGTCAGCGTTCAATAAAACGTAATATTTGACTGTCAACACCAGCTACGATAAACTTCATGGTAGAATTATCGGTCAATATTTATGCTAATAATAATTTTGTATACTAGTATATATATTATTATATCCCCGCTTAAAAGCGTGGAGGGTATAGGCCTATAGTGATCATGATGTCTGTCCGTTACGCTTTGGGGTACCTATCTCTTATCCTCACTCCTCTCATAACACTGAATGAAATTTAATGATACTTTCAAAGATTCTTTGTTACATTGTGCCATTGTAACCTCCTATTTACTTTTTGATCGGAAACGTTTTACGGGTTTCTACGAAAGCCCAGAAGGCTCATTCGAGATTCAAGTTTCGAAATGCGAGATTCAAAATTCGAGATTCGAAATTCGAGTTTCGAGATTCAAGATCCAGATTAACCAATCAAAAGGCTCGTTCGATATTCGAGGTTCGAAATTCGAGATTCGAAATTCGAGTTTCGAGATTCAAAATCCAGATTAACCAATCAAATGCGGGTTCAACATTGATTACTCCCCTTTATTATGTTTAATCTATCAATAAATCGTTTAATATATTTATAACAAATGAGTCATTTGAATAAATTACAATACAAGAAAGAGTGTTATATATATTAGAAGGAAAGTTAAATAATCATTTGATTTTTGATCAGCAAGATATACTTCAATTTATATTATGACTTCTTAAATATTAAATGGAATACATAATCAGGAATATATATATTTTTGCATTGTCTGCTATATATAAAGGATTGTTGACATAATAATAAAGTTATAAATAGTGACTAAAGATTAACAAAATCCTTGTAGCCTTGATAAATAAAAACCGAGTATATTTTAGTCTTTGACCATAACGCTATGGTCAGAGACTAAAATATAAAACCATAACGCTATAGTTCTGCAGCTAATTTAGACTAATCTACTGTTTGATATCAGAAAAATGAATGCTGCATTTATTCTAATTCATATTTGCAATCTGTATTGTATATATAATTGTTAATTAGTTCAAGAAATCAAAGCCTTAGATGAAGATAAGTAATTGAAAACTTTATTTTAATGTATTCCCTCTATTAGGAAAACGAGCGCGGTTTTTATTTATCAAGGCTACCTTGCCTTTCAAATTTTTTAAGTAACATTTTCAGTGTCGGGAAAAATTGGCAGGTGTTGCCGGTAGGGGTGGGGATTTTGTTAATCTTTAGACACTATTTATAACTGTATTATTATGTCAGCAACCCTTTATATACAGCAGACAATGCAAAAATATATATATATTCCTGATATATGCATTCTATTTAATATTTAAGAAGTCATAATATAAATTGAAGTATATCTTGCTGATCAAAAATCAAATGATTATTTAACTTTCCTTCTAATATATATAACACTCTTTCTTGTATTGTAATTTAATCAAATGACTCATTTGTTATAAATATATTAAACGATTTATTGATAGATAAAACATAATAAAGGGAAGTATTCAAATGTTGAACCCGTATTTGATTAGTTAATATGGATTTTGAATCTCGAAACTCAAATTTCGAATCTCGTATTTCGAACCTCGAATCTCGAATGAGCCTTTTGATTGGTTAATCTGGATCTTGAATCTCGAAACTCGAATTTCGAATCTCGAATTTTGAATCTCGTATTTCGAAACTCGAATCTCGAATGAGCCTTCTGGGCTTTCGTAGGTTTCGCACAGCAAAACATTGATGCTGCCATTTTTTCTATATATTGTAGGACACCCACGCACATCTCTTATCTGCAACTCCTCCTATACCACTTAATAAAATTGTATGATACTTCTTATATATTTTTTATTATCATTGATGAACATTATTCAACAGATGGGAATTTAAAGTGTTAAAAATGTTCAATTAATTACTTGCAATCTATTAAGCGATCTCTAAATCATTGAAAGAATGATTGCATTCTACTAATCAAATAAATTTACGTATTGCAGAAATAAGTCTGAAAATATAGAATTATGTTTGGCCATATTAATGTAATATTCCATATTGCAAAGGGATGGTTGTAGCTGCATGTATAGTGCCAAAAGAGGGGATTTTAGGATACGTATTGAACATGATTTAGTCGTATTATTACTTACCTCTAGCAAAAAAATTAAAGGGGATTAAGTGCTTTCATTCACGTCCGTCTGAATGCTTAATGGCACATTGCACAGGCACATAACGTTACATATTCTTCTTATATATTTTTTAAAAAACCTTTTCCTAGTAATACACAAATTTATGGAATTATTAGGAATGAATGGGTTAATTTCTTTTAAATAAGAAAAATACGTAACGTCGGGTGTCTGAGGCATAATTACCGAGATATCCAGCGGACAGTTGACAAAATTGTTTGTCCAAAGACATTTCAAAAACATGTGATGAACAAATTTCTATTATATTTTTATTATATAACACAGCAGATCATAATGATTTTGTAGCAAAAGTTTTCAAGAGAAGATTCGAATTCAGAAAGTTTTCTTTGAGAAATTTTTGTAAGATATAAAAGTAGGCGAGTATAAGTAAACTTTTTCCTGAAAACATCATTTTGTGCAAAGTGGAAACTTTCAGGGAATGTCCTGCTAAGAAAGTGCATTATTAATAGTTTTGAATCATTATATATACATACATGAATTATATACACATTCATATAGAACTTGTACATGTAACACGCGCTATGATATGAAACTAAGATTATCATTAAGATTTTGAATCAAGCCTTTATTTACGAGGAGAATCAGGCGAAAATAAGGGAAAATTCATTAATGGTATCTTGTCTAAACGTAGTTTTTTCAGTATGAATAGAAATGTTTTTTTTAAATTTTGCTCACTTTATAAACAGCTATTCAACTCCCCCTAACTTTTCCGAAATAATACACCTTTACTTTAATATGAGCCAAGAATTTGTGTATTATTATAACCTCTATGAATTTAACGAAATTAATTACTTGAAATTCTTTTTAGCCGAACACACATTATGTTTATTACACCAATTTGGCATTGAAGCCCACGAAAGGCTAAAGATATAACAACAATTTTATGCAATAAGCTGTAGAAATGGAAAGTATGTAGTTTATAAATGTTTTGAAAATTTTCTGAAGGACCATACATGCAGAAATTACAAAACTAATGAGAAAGCTCTCTGAATAAGTTTTGAAAAATATATGAATATATGATAAGAATATACATATGAAGGAAAAATCTTATAATAAAGTTTTTCTTTACAAGCAAAAGGACCATGATAAGTTTTGTACATATATCCTCGGTATTCTCAGAGACATGTTATTGTTGAAATCATGGATCATCTTTTAGGCGGCCAGGGCACAAAGTGCAATATCGGAAAGAAAATTGCAGCTTGGGTGAATATAATGTCCAACCAAGCAAAAAAATTATTTTTGTAATAATTTGATGAATTTAAAAAAATCCTGACTTTAAAAAATGGGAATCAGGTTTCTGTGAAAAACATTATTTGACAACAACGGTAAAAAGTTAAAATTTCAAAACCTAGAAGCACCAAAAGGGCGCAAAAATTCATATATAAAAAGATGAACTTGCTGCAATTGAATTACATGCATGCGAGGAGTTCGAGCGAGGAAGAAAGTGTAAAAGAGGGAAGGCTAGGATAAGAATACTATATCTGAACTTTCTTTAGAAACATTCCAACCCTAAAATCAAATATATTTCCGTTCTAAATCACTGTTCATTAGGTTTTTGGCATTGTTGTTAGCCTCCAGTTTAGACCCTAAGACCCTTAGGTGAAAATTTTAAAAAATTCCGAAA